TCTTTGAAAGATGCCTTTAGGCTGCTTATGTACTACTGGGTCACACAACCGAGCAGCTACCATTACAGGAAGAATCTTTTTCAAGTCACTTTCCACCTTGGAGACACCCCCCCACACACACACTCTTTTTTTAACACCTTCCCCAGCAAATCCAATCCATCCTCTGGCTTATCTGGGTCAGCAAAGGGTCTGATTTTATGCATGGCACTGTCGAACCATTAATCCGCTGCGGCTTTGCCTCTCCATCCGGCCCGTCTGCTTCTGTCAGCATCAGCAAAATGCATAATAGAGAAAATAAGCCAGGAAAACTAATAACACTCATCTGAATAAAATAATCTCTTAGGCTGCGTCACTTCACTTCATTTTAATCAAGGTGCCAGGAAGGAATTTAGGTTTACAAATCCAGCCTGGGCCTTGTCACAAGTTCCCTGTCCAACCATCACTAAATGATCGTTTCTATTATGTATGTACCTTCTTCTTATCCTCCTTATGGTTGGATGCTCAATAACATATGCTGAATGGTGTCTTTAGCTCATTTTTTATTTTATCTATCATCACATATATATGTCTATTTTTAATCTTGTTTTTTAAATATATTTTTATTGATTTCAGAGAAAAAGGGAGAGGGAGAGAGGGATAGAAACATCAATGATGAGAAAGAATCATTGATCGGCTGCCTCCTGCACACCCCCTACTGGGGATCGAGCCTGCAACCCAGGCATATGCCCTTGACTGGGATTGAACCTGGGACCCTTCAGTCCGCAGCCTGACGCTCTATCCACTGAGCCACACCAGCTAGGGCTATGTCTACTTTTTAAAATGAGAAACAATATCCTTAGACGTATTAGTACTAATATTTGCCATCTCTGTATTCAGACCAGCAGTTTTGAAAGGAATTCTGAAAAAGGGGGCTCAGCAGAAGTTGCTGAAGCCCCGGGTGCTGGCTCTCTGGGCTCCCTCTGGCTCCTCCTTCCTGTGGGCCTCAGCTCACAATCCCTGTGCGGAAGGCAGGCCGAGCAGTCCCACCTCAGGGGAAGGACAGTGGAAGATTAGATTCTGCTCTCCCATTCGCATCTCCCTCACGTCTTCCCAGAGACCACAGCTGCTTGGTTAATTGCCTGTTGCTGCTGTCTTATCCCGAACATTATTTGCCGAGGGCTGTTCGTTTTCAGCAGCACTCTTGGCCTTGGCCCAGGGCCGGGTGAGGAGCATGTTGGAAGATGATGAAAGCTGAGTCCTAGTTTGTTTGGAAATAAAACTAATAATTTTTTTTCGCATTTGTATAGTGTTTTACTGTTGATGTAATTCTTTTGCATCCACCATCTCATTTGAGCCACGCAACAGACCTGTGAGGTGGGCAAGTCGGACAGACACTGTTGGCCCAAAGGGAAACATTCTTCACTAGAGCAATACAGAAGCTCAAGCCACTCAGTGATGCCAAACTTGTGTCACACAGCCCATCTGCAGAGCTATGAACATAGCAATTACTAATTAAATGGCACCTTGGGCCAGCAGAGCTCCTAGGGTCCTGCTTTGAAGATCTTTAGGCAGCTAGATGGACACAGATAGGGATGTGTCCATTTCACAGGTGAGATAGCTGAAACCGAACAGAGGGAAGCGCAAAAAAGGGAAGTGTAATACAAGCCAACTTGGACTTTTGTGGAGATCTTCCCCCTAGATATTCGAGAGAAATCCCTTTGAGCATTGGTTGCCAAGTGTGTTGAACATCCATGAATAATCTAAGTTGAAGAGAAAAACTGGGCGAATGTATTTGAAGCTAACGATGGAGCTGTGCAGGTTATTTCTTTCAGTGCATGCTTAGTCGGCTTTCTGGTCTCCTTTGTTTGGACTCCAGAGTCATCTCCTCTCAAGTACAGTATGATGCTTTTTTGATCTTCCTCCTAAAAATTTTTTTTAAGCAAGAAAAACACTTCTGGATATTTTGTCTGCTTTTTAGGGATTAGTGTTTGAGGAGGTTTGCAGCTGTTCAGCACATTCCTAAGGGATGTAGACCTTTTTCTTTAAATGCCCAAGTATTACACAACCTAAGACTCTGGGGGCGGGGAAAGTAAAGAAACTGTACAAACAAACGATAGATGGAAAAGATATAAAGGCAAATTTCAATCTCCTCACCAAACGAAGTTCCCCTGGCTCCAGCAGCCCCAAATAAAATAAGGCTGCAAAGCTGCTAAAGCAGGAAACCACTCTAGCAGAACCTTAATAGGCTCCCCATGAAATCACGTCTCGGGGCCTCGCTTATTTTCCAGCCTGAAGTGTGTTTCATCTTTGTTCGTGTTGGCTGGGAAAATTGTCTCTACAGTGTATTTGTGTTTCTTCTACAGCATGCCTTTCCCCTCTCCTGCACCACCACCTTCCCAAAACAAATAAATGAATTAATTAAAACACCTCAGTTGAAGAGGAATCTAGTCTGAAAAAGCATACAAACTCAAAGAACCAAATACATTATATGAGAAACTACAGTATTAGTAAAAGAGATGGGAACTGCTAAAAGAAAAGTGTCTAATACTGTTTTTTAAAGCCACAGGTTCCTTTTTAAAAATAAAAATCTTGCGTAAACCCCCGTATATGCAACAGATTTACTAGTGTAAATCTACTTTTAAAGTGGAAATTTATAAGAAGCCTTTATTACAGAGTCTACCAGTGAGCACACGAGACTGTGTTTATGAACCCAAAATATTGATTGACATTGGGATTATGAATCAGAGTTGCAGTTTTATGTCAGTTTCAGCATCCAAGTTATTTCTGGTTCTGATTTGGGTTGCCCAATATCAAGAAACTACTAATTCACACAAATGAGTTGTTTGAAATAGCTTTAAATTGATTTAGGTGCTTAAAAAATGATAATTTTGTTTTAATTAATATTGCCTACCAGCTATTCTCACTCACTTTCATAAATATTAACTGGATAATCCCAAAAGTATATAAGAAACGTTGCAATTGATAATGAGACAGGATGATAATGAGCATGACTATTCTCTCTACCCAACCATGGTCTATAGAATGGGCTCCTGAGCCTTCTGTGGGATGTAGTTAAACTTGACCACTATGTATGAAGTCATATGCTCACCCAAACAGTTTTACTGAAGGAGGCACACAGGCTGGAATTAAAAGCTATTCGTACAGAACAACATCCATTCTAACCAATAGCACATTGCTCAGAAGTTCAGATACATGCATTGATTCTTTATTCCCAAGTTTGTATACAGTGAAGTTCACCTGGCAGCCCATGAGACACTGTGATGATGCCTACTGCAGGGAACTGAAGCCAAAGCAGGTTTGGCGTGATTATTTGTCAATAGTTTCCTCATAACAGAATTGGGAAAGCCCTTCTAAGTTGGATTCCATACTCTACAAATCACAGGTGCCTGGCACCCTCCAGCCCTGAATGGAGGCAGTGCTGACTAAGTCAAACCACACTCAAGCCACTTTCTTTGCTCTGAGAGTTGGACTGGAGGGACGGGTAAGAGAATAAACAGGAAAATGATTCTTTGTCGTGATTAAGCAGATTCTCTTTGAAATTATAAGGCTTTGTTTTTAATTTCAGAATTGCCACTGTTTAGCTATGTGACCTTGACCAAGATATTTAACCTTTTTTAAAATATATATATTTTATTGATTTTTTTACAGAGAGGAAGGGAGAGGGATAGAGAGTTAGAAACATCGGTGAGAGAGAAACATTGATCAGCTGCCTCCTGCACACTCCCCACTGGGGATGTGCCTGCAACCAAGGTACATGCCCTTGACCGGAATCAAACCTGGGGCCCTTGAGTCTGCAGGCTGACACTCTATCCACTGAGCCAAATCGGTTAGGGCGAGATTTAACCTTTCTTAGTCCAACTTTCCTCTTCTGCTGAATGCAGTTAGTTACACCCATTTCACCAGGCTTTTGTAGGGTTCAAGTTATATAACATCAGCCATGGGGCCCAGCTAAGCGCTAAATACATAGTAAGCCCTTGATAAATAGGACCTCAAGCAACCCCTACTTTCTGTTTTTCTCCTTAAAGAGATCCAAGTTACAGATGCAGAACTTTCTGTTGCTTAAATTAGTCCTGTGAACCGAGTAGAAAATAATTCTTTCAGATCACATTGCTTTCATTAGAAATGAACATCTAGGTTTGGCACTTTACTGTTGTACTCAGGCTGTAGAAGTTGTAGGAATACATGTGTTCTGGGAATGATTGTACTCTAGGGAATATGGGACATGAGATAATGGCTCAATCAGTGAAACCAAAGCTTCCTTAGATGTGTTCTATGGAACTGAAGAGTTTTTAGTGACTTTTTCATGGCAATTGCCTCTAATGTTGTATTCATGGAATTCTGCAATAGGTAAGTGTGTGGGCGTTTAGTCTGTATTGCTCTAATAATTTTTGTCTCTAGACAAAGTCTCTAACTTTTTGTCTCTAACCCTAGATGCATACCAGATGACTTAGTGGCCAAGGGAATGGCCTTGGCGTGAGACAACCTAGAGCTTTTTCTAGTCAAACAACACAGAATTGTGGTTCTAGTCCCTGACTTCATCTTACTAGCTGCATGATTCCTTCTTACTAGCTGTGGATAAGTTTTCTACTCAGTAAAATGGAGATAATGGTAGTGTTTGTCCATTTTGAAAATTCATATATTTATGTTTGGGGTTTGTTTGTTTTTTTACAATGAAATGATGGAGCTTAGATGAAATAATGCACATAAAACAGTCACCCAAGTTCCTAAAACATAGTAGATATTCAACAGATAATCTTGCTTCTCCTCCTCCTTCTCTTCTTTCCTCTTCCTTCCCTCTCCTTATCATTATCCTCATTTTCTCCCTTTTCTCCATTGAGTTGTTAGGAAAACAGAATACGAGAGGTGCAGAGTGCAGGGAAAATAACGGTATTTCTGGCATGGCTTTGATCACTGTGATTTTGTGATGTGGACTGTAGTCACAGATGTTGGTCCTGGTTGCTTACTAACAATGATTTTTTTTTCTTGCTGTTTCTCTGCAGGAAGGATCAGAATGTTCTCTCTCCAGTCAACTGCTGGAATCTCCTCTTAAACCAGGTGAAGCGGGAGAGCAGGGACCACACCACCCTGAGTGACATCTACTTGAATAACATCATTCCTCGATTTGTTCAAGTCAGCGAGGACTCAGGAAGACTCTTTAAAAAGGTATGTAGCTGTTTATAGTCATAAGCTAGTTGGGTGGAGCAATGACACAGTTTTGTAAATAAGAGAAAGAATATCTTATTGTCCCACGTATAAGACTTGAAATTGGTCATTCCATATCATATACTCATGGAGGCAGAATATTAAATTGACATTCTTTTCTTTCCTTCTGAGCTGAATTAATAGTAGGGCCAGGAAAGTAACCATTTGCCAGGTATAACCTCTGGATTGGCAGCATAATTCATAATCTGCATGTGTTAATTATGGTTAGTCGATTTCCATACGTGATTTGTGAAGCTGTTAAGATTCAGGGACCTTCCGTGTCACTTCATGTTTTTTTTCTTCTAGTCCATTTAGCAAATTCATATATTTATGTTTTTGGTTTAGTTCTCTTTCCAAGTTCTTATCTTGTCCAAGGGGAACTTATGAATTTGGTCTTTCTTATCATGACATATCTTTTCTTTAAGTTCTGAATGCTTTTTGAGGCTCATTTGTTTGTTCTAATAACTTGGATACAAGTTAAAAAAAATTGACCAAGGAAAGACTCAAAAATAATTGTGATAATCTTAAGAAATTTATGGCAAGTTCACCTTACCTGTCAGTAGTGGAACTATCTCTTGGAAAGCCAGAAACTTCTTTACTTAGCTCTCTCAACCTGAACTCTCAATGGAGTCATTTATTCATGAATTTTGGTAACAAATGGTGGCAAAGGCCCCAATCATTGTACATGATATACCATGTCTAACACTGAGACCTGAGATCCACAGATGATATTTCAGAAAGCAAATAATCTTAACACAAGTTATAGGTGTAAAGAATCTATATAGGGCTATTTTATTTGTTTTCTATATCTGGAATTCATTGGTTTCCAGTTGACAAAATTCAGTGTTAAAATTTGAGGCTGGGAGAGAAAGGATTTTAGTCAATAGGACTGTGATCAGCTATAGCTCTTGGTTTTCCAATTTTTGTTGTTGTTGTTAATCCTCCACCAGGGATATATTTTTTCCATTGATTTTTAGAGAGAAGTAGAGATAGAGAAAGAGAAACATCGATGTGAGAGAGATACAACAAGTGGTGGCCTCCCATACACACTCGACCAGGGCCAGGGATCGAACCTGCAACCCAGGTGTGAGCCCTGGACCGGGAATTGAACCCAAGACCCTTCAGCGCATGGCCCGAAGCTCTGATCACTGAGCAACACTGGCCAGGGCAGTTTTCCAATTCTTAACGTTAGGAAGTTTTCCAGATCTCAGTAGGATTGGTATTAGAACTGATTTCTTCTGTTTAAACAGCATGAAAAAATAAATTATTTAGAATCTTCCAACTACATAGTTGCATCTGTGAAGGGGTCTTTCCCTGTGTCTTAGAGACAGTATATTAAGGGTATAACATTTGACAGTGAAAAGAGGGGAGAGAAAGATAACTTCCTCCAGATCTCTCTGGTTGTATTTAGTGGCCTGGCTGTGCTGTGGTTGGGGCCGTGCTTCATTTAGGGGCAAGGATACTTTTCACCATCTACTCATAGCTTTTAGCATCTGCTGTAGCTTGCTTGTCATTATTTGAATTATTCTGCAACAAATTAGTGATGTGTATATATGACAAAAATGAATGACTATCTATAATAATAAATGTGTAATATGCTAATTAGACTGGACAGCCGAACAACCTTTCCGACGTCAGGTGAGCAGTTAGGGGCGATCAGGCAGGCAGGCAGGCAAGTGGTTAGGGGTGATCAGGCAGGTGAGCGGTTAGGAGCCAGCGGTCCCGGATTGCGAGAGGGATGCCCGACTGCAGGGATTGGGCCTAAACCGGCAGTCAGATATCCTCCAAGGAGTTCCGGATTGCGAGAGGGTACAGGCCCAGCTGAGGGGAACCTCCCACACCCCTCCTCCCGTGCACGAATCTTGTGCACCGGGCCGCTAGTAGTTGATAATACTGTATTGAATACTGGAAATAAGTTAAAAGAGCAGATTTCAGGTGCTCTTTTCATACACACAAAGGTAACTATGTGAGCAGATATGTTAATTAGCCTGATTATGGAAATTATTTTATCCTATACAATAAAACCCTAATATGCAAATAGACCGAACAGTGGAACAACTGGCAGCGGATCACCCTGTCACTATGATGTGCACTGATCACCAAGGGGTAGAAGCTCCCACCGGTAGGTTAGCTTGCTGCTGGGGTCCGGCCGTTTGGGACTGGGCAAGACAGGCTGGACACGCCCTGGAGCCAATCTCTTGCAGTCCCTCCTAGGCCTCTAAAATATTTCTTCTAATTAATTTCCTTTCAATGTGTATGAATCTGTGCACCAGGCCTCTAGTATGTATATAAAATCATTGTTATACACCTTTAATAGATACAATTTTTATTATAAAAATTTAAAACTTATTTAGGTGGAACCTTGATAGTAATCAGATACTACTTCAGCTCTTCTTTATGCCCTGGACAGCCACTTTAGCCACCTTGAGAAGGAAAGGGGGTGACTGATAGTTTTCTCTTCTGTTTGCTGTGTTCACCTGAGAAAAAATTTTTGTGAGAGATGGTCAGTTATCTAGATGTCACCCAATCTCTCAGCTCCCTTTTCTCCCAGCTTTAGAAGTTTAGGGGAGAACCAAGATGAGAGTCTTGTAGCCCTTCCAGATCTCAGAGATGTTTATGTTGAAGGCAGCCAGTTACCCAAACCATGAATGTCCCTGGTTCCTCAGGTGCCCTTCACATTTTACTAAAGTCCTAGCTGAATGGCATGTATACAAGACACTTGCCCTTTAGTAGGAAAATCCACTTGTGAATAATATTCCTAGCAATGGTCTCCGAGTTCATCTACTTAAGCCGGGCATTTCTATGCTGGGGGTATAAGAAAGAATTTCTAATTACTCACACTTTATTGCATTATCTATGTATTACATTTTATTGAAGAAAATTACACATTTAGGCTTATAGCTAAATGCATTTTTTATAAACAACATATTTGGTAACTAGCTCCCAGATCAAGAAACAGAATATTTCAGTACCCTAGAAGCACCGCACCCCTCCCCCATGCTTCTTTCTAGTCATTAAAGAGTTAGGAGGAGACAAGTCCCAAAACCCAAGGATAACAATTGTCCTGACATTGAATAGCAGAGATTCGTTTTCATTGGTTTCACACTTTATATAAATAGATCCATACAGAGTGTATCTTTTCTGTCTGGTTTCCCTCATTCAACCTTTGTTTATGAGGTTTAGTCATATAGTTGTTTATAGTTACAGATCATAGAGATCTTGATAAATTTTTATCAATTAAGTCATAGATTCATTTGCCCTGGCCAGTGGGGCTCGGTTGATTGGGCATTGCCCCGTGCACCCAAAGGTTGCCAAATCTATTCAGGTCAGGGCATATGCCCATGTTGTCGGCTCAATCCCCTATAGGGGTGTGTAGGAGGCAGATGATGATGTTCCGCTCTCACATTGATGTTTCTCTCTCTCCCTTTATTTCTCTCTATAAATCAATAAAAATATGAATATATTTTTAACATAGATGAATTCTGGTTTGGCTGGGTGTGAGCCTCTCTGCTTTCTAGTAATGGACACAGAAGCATTCTCCCTCCATACCTTGGTTTCTTCATCTCTTTTGGTTAGAGTATGTTGCACAGGAAGAATTAGAATCCCACTGCTTAAGATATAGTAATCAGATAAGAGAACTAAAGAATGTACCCAGCTACCCTGTCAGCTATGTGAAGCTCCCAAGGCGTGGCTGTGCTCTCCAAGCTGAGGCCTTTTCCAAGTAACCTTTTCCCTCAGGCTCAGCTTTGCTAGTAACTCCAAGGCCTTGGCTGGTTACTTCCCCTTTCTGAGCCTCAGTTCCCGGAAGTGTTTTTGTTTTTGTTTTTTAAAGAGTTAGGCTGTGTGATCTCCATGCTGCTTTTGAAGTCTAATATACTGTAATTCTATGATGACGACGGTATTCTACACGGGGGGCTTTCTTCCAGTTGTTGGTGACCTTTGTGAAATTCTGACAGGTTAGTTGCAGTCCCTGAGATAAGGACAAACAAGAGTAGATGTGGGTATGGAGGGGGCTAGCTTAAGCAATGGAAGACTACATTTCTCAGGGAATGCAGCACTCAGATTCTGTTATCTGTAAAGGCCAGCAGCCAAGAGATGCCGAAGTGGAATACACATGTGTAAAATGTGTATTTTTCTTTTACCTGTAAATTTGGTTCCAGCAGCAAAAGAGACACCAACTTCAGAAAGAACACCTTTATTTCTGAGTCAGCTATGGATACCTATGAAAATTCACAAATGTGAATCTGTTCACCAGTGGCAAAAAACATGGGTTGTCTCCTTTTCTCTTCTTCCTCCTCCTCCTCCTCCTCCTCCTTTTTCTCTTCCTCCTCCTTCCTCTTTTTAATCTATAAAACTTGATTCACTGGCACAGGTGAATTTCAAAAACCAACATTTTTTGAAATCTTATGTGCCAGGTACAATGTTAAACACCTTAAATACATTACCTTTTTTAATCCTTATAATAATTCTATAAGGTAAATAGTACTATTATCCCTATTTTATGAAGGAGAAAACTGAGGCTTAGAGAGATTAAGAAGAAAAAAAAAGGTGAAGCTGGTATTTAAATCTAGATATTTGTCTCTAGAACTCAAGGTTTCTATGTACGAGTTCCATTAGGATCTAGGTATGGTGTGCAGAGTAGAGGGTGTTTCAGATTTTCTTACTCTTTTCTGTTGAATCCAGGTATTTCACTTGGTTACAGAATTAATCTAACCTTTTCTCTTAAACACAAACCTTCAAAGGGTATGGAGGTGTTAAACATCAACATGGGGCTGTTTCTTCTACCTGGTGTCTGGGCAGGCAGCTGGAAGTTGAGAGGGAAATAGGGCAGCGGTATTTTTCTCCCTCGGGGCACAATGTCTAGTAAGAGAGAAACAAAGACTCATTAAATGTAAGAACTGGCCAAATATCTAGCCCACAGCTAGCTCAGCTAATTTGGGGATGTCAGGGTGGCTGTACAA